TGCATGACATCCCCACTCTGGGTGCTTGCAACGTGACTTAAGTGAATGGATGGAACAACAACAAATGTATGTCTGCCCTGGGAATATGACCTCCAATCTGAGCATGTTATGACCAAAAACACATGTAATGTACTAAAGAGGAAGTAAACAATACAATGTACATGCACGCAATACATAATACAATGAGCCATTACATGAGGGTTGTCCCCGTACCTAGAAGATGTCAAAAATAAATTAGATTGAGCAGAGAGCCAAGGGGAAATGTGGCTTTAGTCCTACAACCTTATTTGTAGTTTTGGTTTATGCATAAGATGCATCCTGTCAATTTTTCATGCAGAGTGTAGCAGGGCATAGACAAACACAAGCACACAGTTGCATCCAAATGTGCTCTCACATGCACAACCAGTCAGATGTGCAGATGTTGCACACACACACACACAAATACACACGTGTTGAATATGCAGACACATGTAACGAGAAGAGAGGGAGACTGTTAATTAACTAGAGCTCGTTAATTCTCTTTGAACCGACAGCAAGGAGGTTTACACACTAATTACCTTGATGACTGAGCCGACCTGTGCACGCTCGCACACAAGCACCTGCTTGCACTACCAACGCGCACACACACACACACACACACACACGTGTATTCTCACAGGCTGACATAACACATCTTGCAGTCTTTGAAAGTTTCACACTCATGCGCAGCAATAAAACACAAACATAAAGGTGTGAAGTCTCACTCGTACGCATAAGCATATGCACAACACATCATGCACGGAAATGAAAGCTATATTAGGATTTATTTTCACAACACCTTGAGCTTCAAGATTCAGATAGCTCAGTTTATTCTGAGTTAAGCTCCATCATGCATCTGTTTGATTCATACCTCTGCCAGAAATAGCTTCACAGTAACCATACTGTATCAGGATGCTAAATGCTTGTACAGTACTGTTGAATTGCATACACACTGAACACACCCACTCAAACACACTCCTCGCCTTGCAAATGAGTGAAGCTCCCATGTCAGTATTGAACTGTAATGGCCCGTGTCAGATTAAGAGGAAGGTTTTTTTATGTGCTCCGTCAAACTCAATTAATATTCCATCAGGCATGAATTCATAGGCCACACTGGACCTACGCCAATTCATCTGTATGTGTCTATGTTCGAAAGTGTGTGTGCGCTCACATGTATGAATGTGAGTCCACATTCAGTTGATATTCCAGATAGTTAGTAATCCTAAGCCTTTATTGCTATTAATATAACTCTTTCACACATACAGTACACGCACAAACATGCTTTGTGAGTTAGGTAGAAAAACATCAAGGAGTAGTGGAATAAACTGAGATCACTTAAACGAGCAAAGAAGATAGAGATGTGAAAAGCTTTCAAAAAGACCGTATTGAGAGAAAATGAATGGAGTAGTAGAGAGAAAGTGACATAACAATGATAAGAAGCCAGCAAGACAGCGACAGAATGTGTAGACTGCACAATTAGTATCATTTAATGACTAAAAGATGCCAAAATGTGGGATTTGGCAAAAGAATAGAAGAAGAGCTTTGTCAATGAGCAGAAGACTTAGAGGTAGAGAAGACGGAGGATGAGAGGAAAAGGTGGAAAAGGGGGTTAGAGAGTGTAGTGGAGTTATGGGTCAATAAAGTGTACTCTGGGGAAGGGGAGAGGGACTCATAACGAGGTCAAGGACATATCATCGATCGCCACATCATAAAACTGACGGCAAAGAGAAGAAGAGGGGGAGGTGGGGGGGGCAACAGAGAAAAGAGGGAGAGTTACAGCTGTATAAAGCAGAGTTGACTGCAGGATCGTCCGAAGGAAGGGAAGATAGAAAATAAAATGATCAGGATGAAGAAATGAAAGGGGGCAGCTCTAGGCAGAAAGAGGGTTAGAGGGAAATTGAATTAGATGGAATCATTGCTGAACAGAAGAATTCTGTACACACAGACAAGCAGAAAAAACATGCACACATACACACCGGCAGCAGTCTTCCAATAGTACTCTCACTCCTTGTCTGTCAATCAAGTACAACCCTTTAGCACAGGCTCGATTTCTACAGTACTCCTGACCACAGTGTGTGTCTCTGATGTATTACCATTACAGTTACAGAACTAAGCATCCATTGTTCTGGAATACTGTATATCATATGTGAGACAAGATTTCAACCTGTATAGTACTAATGATATCCCATCAGCCTCAGCTGTGCGTTGTGTTGGTATGCTTATACGCTATATACAGGGAACATGGTCAACATTATACCTGCCTGGCACATTGGTCGAACAAGTACTCAGATATTTTACTAAAGTAAGAGTATAAAAAAGTCTTACTCAAGTAAAAGTATATATATAAAACTAAAGTATAGAGTTTTAGATTAAAAATCCACTTAACGTACCTCAAACTTCAATAATACAATCGTTTTTTTCTCAATTTATATTTCATCATTACAATTTATAACAGTAGCTACATACTAAAGGTGGGATAGGTAAGTTTGAGAAACCGGCTCGAGATACACTTTTTGTTATATTCCATGGAATGCTCTTAACATCCTGAGAGCAATGAATATCTTAAGTGCTTTGACAAAAAATCCATAAAGAAATATCATCTGTGGAAGCTGTAGTACTGTAAAAAGCACGACCAATCATTTTAGCCGGCCCGGCTAAAATAACTGGATGGCCTACCTGCCTGTCAGCTTTCCATCTGTGCACAAACTGATCTCGTGCCCTCATTGGTCATGTGCGCATTCGTGTGTGTTGGAGGAGGGGCTCTGTAAGGAAGTGGCAGATTTTTTCCGGTTGTGTATTTTCAAATTCTAGCGATCTCGAGCTGGTTTCTCCAAAATTACCTACCCCACCTTTAACTAAACCCTCAAACATATAATTACTAAACCCTCAAACATATAATTACATAAAAAGTAGAATATTTGCCTGTGAGTTGTATTGGAGTAGACGTATGAAGTACCATAAAATACAAAACTGAAGTTGAAATATCTAATAATGTTGCTTATTATTGTGGTACAGTATGATCCTTGCTGACAAGTTTCTAAAGCCTGTAAGTAAAGAAATAAAGGAATCATTTTTAATGTAGATACTTATTTAAAAAAAAAAAAATCCTTACCGATTACTTCTCTGGGCAACTATACACCCACGTTTTCCTCTCCGTGCCATTGCCCTTATCTGAAAGAGTGAAAAGGAGGTTGGACTGCTTCGTTCTAAACTAAAGCACTAAAAATACATTGGTCTCTCTGAGGAGAGTTAAGATGAAGCCACTGAGATTCCAAGAACCGCTGCTTTTTATTAGAATCTAATATATCTTCCTCAGTCTTGCTTGTGCTCACAATCACTGCTGTTTGAGTCACTTTCTCTCATCCCTTTTTAATTTAAGCGTCTTGAGAATGGCGGAAGAAGCAAGTGCTCTATTTTAATTCATTAATTTCCCCCTTCCTGGTTAATTAACTTAGCTGTGTTCCTCTTTTCCTCTTTGTCTTGCATGTTCATTAGGTGAAATGTTTAATTTTTCCTTTTAATTTGGGTGTATGGAAAGAAATGTGTTCAGTTTGGGCTTTTATGCCAGTCGTCCATCCGTTTCTCTACAGATTATCCTGAGGCGGCATTCCCATCTGAAGTTTTTCCCGCCCTAATCTGCGTCTTCTCTCTGTTCCCTCCGTTCCACACTACACGCTGCATGTTTCAAAGCAAATCTAAATTGAAAGGGTTGTAATTTTGCAAGGAGATAAATGGGTATGAGAGGAGATAGGAGGGGTGTTGTATGGAAATAGGCTTTCTGGTGCATAGTGATCCCTTCAGGCCAGACGGAGTCATTTAACTCCCTCTTATGTTCTCTCAGCATGAACTTATTATGGCCTTTTTTTCTCTCCAAACTGGTCTGCTAACTACACTGGGGTGACTTGTGTGTCAGAATCGCAGCAGGTGTGATGCTCAGTTGGAGGGAATGATTTGATTCGTTAATGAATCACCACCACTCCACACAGATTGGAAGATCTGTCAGTGGTAGATGGGCAGTTGGTTTGTGCTAACAGTGATGGGTGCAGTCTGCCTTTCAAAGCCTCATTGCTGCACTGCATAATAACACAAATAGACGTTTTTTTTGTTGTTGTTCAGATCCCATTTATATTAAAAAAGTTTCTTTTTAAGCATTAACAATACAAATTATAAACTGTAAACAAAAACAGTCTTAAAATCAACTGAGCTGAGAGGAAAAGGCAGATGAAGGATGGATTTGTTGTGAACAAATTCTATGAAAAAGACCAAAACCAACAATGCTTAATCCATATTTTAGTAGTCTCCAACTTCCCTATCCTGTCTGTGGCACTCGGCCCAAAGACCATTTGTTCCTTCTGGAGATGCCAGCCATAATATATTTCATTGTAAATACTTTCCTAACAGATGTACACTCTAGTAAAGTTTAGCAAACTTAACTCAGACAGAAGTAAATAGTGTTGGGAAAAATTCTTAGCTGATGATTAATGCACATTTAGACAATAACTGAGTATTTATACAAATAACCATCCTGTACTCAGTAAGGTGATGTACAGTAGTTGGGCCGGACTATACATTCACTTTTTTTTATTGTACTTCAAAATTCCTACTTGAAAATCTAATAAAAATAAAGTAAGAATTTTTTTAACTGGATTTAGTATTACCCAGCTGTTACTACTGGGCACCAATCCAGATGAAAAATAAGTGTCTTTGGGCCGGCCAGAGGTTTGTAAACATCAGCCATGTCGTCCAGCATTAATCTTAACTGGGATTAAAAGCCAACTGGAAACGTTGACGGACCACCGTGATTGGTTGATGACTATTACCCTGCATTGTAGCAGCTAAGCTCATAATCAAGGCGAACACGATCAGATAATCTCAATATGTCTTTGCACACCCCTTCCCACTAGCCTAATCCTCAGATTAAGAATCTCAGATTAGGAATCCAGGATGATTAATCCTATATTGTGTGTGTGTGTTCTCTGCAGGGGACCCTTCGCCGGGTGACCTTCTCTGTAGTCAGCCAGCCCCAGGACGGAGGTTGCTATGACAGTGGCCTGGAAGACTCGGAGACCCCGAGCAGCAAGAGTTCATCAGGGCCGAGACTGGGAGCCCTGCCTCTGCCCGAGGAAGGCTACGAGCGGACCACACCGGAAGGTAGTGTGGGCGAAGAAGAGCACGTGGAAAATGGTCAGAGCAACCACACACACACACACACACACACACACACACGCACACACACCATAAACAGTCAACTAAATACATTGGACGCATTCAGACTTGTGGTCAAAAGGCTACCAGATACATTCATATGTTGTCTCTATGGTGTGAAAAGCTTAGCCGTGTTTTTATTATACACACATCCTCAATCAGGGGCATACACACTCAAACACTTTGAAACCATGACATGGTGTCAAGGTTTCAGAAGCCTTTTCTTTCCTTATATGATGGGAATGTGTTTTGTAGAATAAAGCAATTGTCCTGGTTGTGTATGCATGTGCTGCACATATGTTTGTGTGAAAGCCTGTGTGTTTTGTGAAGAGCTTTTTAGAAAAGCTCTTCTGAAAAGCAATATTTGTGCCAGATGCTCATCAGTGGCCTTGCCTTCAGTCAGCACCCCAAATCTTCCCATTCAGCAATAAAATTGTGTTTCTAACAAGTCTTTGTCAAGGATGGAGAGAACCAAAAAGGGCTTTTAATTCTCTCCATTTTCTCTCTTTCCTTTGTAAATGCTAATGCAAGAGCTGGAACAACTGAAGCATCGCACCAAGGTCACATGACCATGAACTTCTGGGGTTAAATGTTGATTTTTCGCCGACGAGTGAAATCTTGAGGATATTGTGGAGTTTAATAAGTTTCCTTCACGGTCAGATGGAGAGAGGAATTGAACAGATAATTGGCTGTGTTGGTTATAATTATACTGTATAATGATGTGCTTGTTTGGCTGCACATTAATTTACTGCTGCTGCAAATAGGCATCAAAACTGGAATTCGTTTTTAGAATGCAAAATACATATTTAATTTCTTATGTATGAATTCAAGTAAAGTAGAATTTAGAAAAACAGACAGTGAAGTTTTTTAGTTGCTCATTAAATGTGTATGGAATGAATCACAAAAAAATCAAACAAAGGATAAAGTAGAGATTAAAAATCCTCCCTGCTCTGCTCTGATTGGTCCAACCTAAGAGTAGATTGATATGTATAAAAATACTTGTTCTGCTTTGTGAAGGCGATTTAACTGCTTGATGACAACCTCTTTGTGATCCAAACATTGCACATTTAAAATGTATGGGAGCTTTTAATATAGTTTATGGGTTTCTTGTCTGCCATAGTTTGAGTTGTTGATCCAGCAGCTGTTATAGTTTTTAAGATGTGCATACACTGAAAAACCTGTTTATCTTTGGAATGCGTTACTTACGTTTTGTAACATGACACCTGCACAATTTCTGTTATTGACATAGTCACAGTAACCTAATCTGTCATCATTATAAGCCCTGCCTCCGTTTAACATGATGTCAGTATTGATTTATGAATGACTGGTTTACATAGATAATAACCAGAGGCTTTGACACTTGCCCTTGTTCATCAGTAACTCTGGTGGCCTCGTTAACCTTTTGATGTTTTAGGTTCAATATATACCTTTAATGTTTTCTTGCATTCCAAGAAATGAAGACTTGTCACTCAGAATTCTGAATATTTAATTGGCCAGGATGGTTGTTTGTGTTGACCTCACCTTTCACCTCTAAAGTAATGCTGAGCACAGCTGGAATTTTTTAAACACTCTTTTGGAGTGAGCAATTTACATTTTGCTCTTACAGCATTTTTTGTTGCCTTTGTTCTTCTTTTCTTGGGGCAGGGGTTACCATTTTTTTTTCTTTCGTCTTCCACACCCGATGTTAAACTCATCTCCTTTGATTTATTCGATCTGCTCTCTTTTGTTATTTAATGTTCATTTTGTTGGGAGTCGTAGAAGCCTAGTTGTAAGGACACAGGCCTTATAATTGCAACATACTCGGTTTGAATCTGGTTGGTACGTTAGCTTCATGTCATAAAATCTTTAAAGTTTTCTCTCCTTTCAATCCTCTAATCCCTCTTTCTGTCTCTTTCCTGTGTTCAGATGCCAGACAGCTGCCAGACGTAGCCCTGACAGGAAAGTGTACCAGGGAGTGTGATGAGTTCGGCCACTCTGACACTTGTTGGATGCCTGTTCGCACTTCGCCTCGCCAGCGCCAGCGCCATGGCAGCGACCCCCCACGGCTCTCCACTTTCGCCCCTGGTGACGATAATAACAATCTCCGTGGTAACGACCATGAGAGCGACAGCGAGAGTGCTGGCAGTGCGGGGAGCTCAGAACCCGGGGTGGTGGTCAGTGGAGAAGGTCAGAGATTACCCTTAGTCAACGGGGATCCTCTCGGCACCCTGGGTAGTGCAGACCGCAACAGGAACATGGGCGATCACAACCGTAATCTTCTGAACCGCAAGATGACTTCGGCATCCTATGACACATTTAGCAGTGCAGGCTTTGGGAGGCGCCAGCAGGACGAGGAAGGAGGAGAAGGCCAGAACCCAACTGAGGTCATTCCCCTGACGCGGACAGGAGGGGACTACAAGACCACGTCCTGCCTCACGTTGTCACGCCGAGAGGTCTACCTGTGACAGCCTTGCAATTGAGCAATCATCACCACACTACTCCATTTTCTGAAAAACAGGGAGGGTTAAGGAAAGATGTTTTCTAAAAGCCGTTTATCAAATTGAAACTTTTGGATTCTGGCTATTATTTATAGGCATCCTAACTTAAACAAGTGATGGACTAACTCTTCTGAAAGCTCTGAATAAGAGTACTTTCTTTAAAAAAAAGTCTTTTTTAATTACTACTGAAAGTTGCCTTTAGGCAAAGATCCTCTTGTATGTCCACATGAAGGAAGACAAATTCTTCTCTTCTTCTTTGTACCTGAATCAAATGCATGCCTGATCCTCTGCCATAGAGGGATTTGTGTGAAGAAGAGAAAGACTGAGACTGAGTGAATCCTGATGCTTAACATGCCTCAGTTCATATACAAACTTTAACTGAGGCTACAGCAGGCAAGATTTGAACTCATCTGGTGAATCATCTGCTGAAAACCACTGAGGTCTTATCCAGTCAAATAGATGAAAATAAATAACGGGTCTTCGATTGAGTTATTTGGATCCAACTCAAATCAATCAAACTCTCAAATTCTCATGCCTAATAAACTCTATTGTAACAAGCAAAGATATTAACCAATCAAACAGCTTATCCCGTGAGAAGCTTAACAAGTCTTAAAAAAGTATTGAAGAACTGACAAAAGTGTGTCACTGTACAGTTATATTGTAGAAAAACTTGCTGATCTCTTAAATCAGGTATCTTTAAAAACAAATGATTCAGAACAAACTGCAACAATGTGAAAATGCCTTTTTTTTAACGGCAGTCAAATGTAACCATTCAGAATCCAAGGTTCCCATAGTGTCAGTAGTGCCACTGAATTCCGGCGTGTGGGAAAATATGTCTTCATTATTTTGCCTTTACACCCAGTCTGTATGTATATATTGTATGTGTGTATTTGATAAGACGGCAGTGTTATTCCTTGCCACTGTCCACCGTTTCAGAGTAGACTGAGGTGCTGTGTCCATTACACGCCTACAGTATCCTAACAGTGTTCCTCTATCATAATTGTTCTTTCGCACACACACATGCACACACATATACACATGCCGCATGCACGCACTTACACATACACACAGACCCAAGCATGACAACACAAACTCATACAGTGCATTTACAGAATGTGAACATGCATAGCGCCACAGATTATGACATGATTCAGTGGCTGTGAAACATAGACTATATAATAACTTGCATTAACTTTCATTCAGAAACATTAGGCACACACACACACACTCACATACATCATATTAAGTAGAGAGACAAATTCATTTAAGGATTTGCGCAATGCTCGATTCATATGCACTGTGTGTATGTGCTCTTAATCATAATTTTTTTACATATTGCCTCATTAAACTAGCCGTAGCATTTTGCCTGCTCCCCCCAGCAAGTATTTAAACATGAAATGTATTTAAATAATGACTCATCTCTCTGACTGATGTGTGGGGCTACATTAAAGGGAATTTCAGACATGTCATCTACTGTATGTAATGATACTGTAAGTAGGACTAATAGAAAAACCAAATTTCTTTAAGAAAAAAAAGGAAATGAAAAAACTGCATGAAAGAAAGATAATACCTTTTTTTCTCTCTTTTCTAAACCATACGCCTTTTGGATACCACGCCTATTTGGATACATCTGTATTTTATGTACGTGCCCACGGGGAAATGGAGATAATGATGGCAGCAAGTGAGTTAGTTTCAGTGGATTAAACTGTTCCCACTTTATCATGAGAGTTAGTTTTGGGTCATTCTCTCAGTTCCCATGGCTTGCAGTTGGCACAATGTGTCCCGCAGGCTGTAACAAAAAAGAACACAATGTAATGGCAGCGCAGAGTTGACTGTACTCTTTGCACCGCACAGTGCAGACCTGAACACGCCCATACCGCTGTGCTGAACTGCACAGATAACAGACTCCTTCACATTCGTCCTCCTCGCAGCTACCGCACGACTGCAGACACACTCTGCTGCACGGGGCTGAGGAGTGGGTGTGGATCAAGGCCAGCACATCTTAATTCCCATCATCAGTGTGTGGTTCAGTAGTGTGATAGGAATAATAGGGTTAAGTCGTCCCTGTGGTCTTAATGAGTTTCTTTTCTCCTCTCTTCTCCTCCCTTTATCTGCACTGATCTCATTAATGTTCGGATTTGGCGAATGTAACACTGCTGGAAATTGCCAGTAAGCGTGTCTCTTCATTTTACCGGTTGTTATGGATCAGATAAAATGAAAGAGACATGCTTGTGCTTGATGTGCTACAATTTAGTTCACAGATCCTTGTAGAGCAAAGAATTAGTCAGAAAGGAGAGTAACACTCAGGTAAGATGTGCGACAATGTTCCACTTGTTAACTAACCACACTGTTGCTGCTTGACTGTCCCCTCACTGAAAGGTAACCATGTGGTAACAGTGAAGTAGGGAGTCTTCATTTTACAACGGTAATCATCCTAAGAAAGGGGTGTGTTCATGTGCGTGATTACACTTTGTATACCTGTATATACCTTGAACTTTACAACTCTGTGAATGACTCCCTTTAGCTTGTTTAAGGCCACTGATGTGCTTACTCCCTAAGCTTTCATTACCCCCAAATCCCCAACATAGCTGTTTACTGAGCTCTGTTACTGATGGACTGTGCTGAAGAACTTAAAGCCTAACGCATGGAGTTAATCTGTTGAAAAGGGTTTGGTGAAAACAATCACAGCTTCCTCTGCTTCTGGACAGCTTCTTACTCTGAGAAACAGAAGGACACATGCTCTTTCTCTGGGAGAAAGAGTGGAGATAAGGGTTTCTCCATCCCTTGGAGGCGAGAAATGTCCTGAAAAACTAACGTCCATTTAGTAGGTTTTGGACAGAGACTCTTGACACAGCCCTGCCTTCTCAAAGTGGCAGATATTTCAACAAACTGCTGTTTTATGGCAGTTCCATTATGGCACCTTTCAAACCTTCCCATCAAGATTCAAGGGAACTTGCTGTACATGAATCTGTGTGAGTGTGTATCTTTTTTTATACTGCACGTTTAAACATGAATATCTTTCAGTCTACTGCAAAACAGAGAGGGGAGACATACAGATAGGAGCGTAACTCGGAGATGTATCACCTACTAATCGGGACATTTTGAAAAAAAAAGACACTTTGGCGCTAATCATGTAACTGTCATCCCCTCGTGCTGTTAACCTTATAGCCATGTACAGATAAAACTACACTGTAGAACAGACAACTGGAAACCATAACAGACAATGGCATGCCTAAGGTCTTCAAATCTGCACTTGAGAAAAAATTAGAAAAAACTGTTATTTTTATTTTCCTCTACTTTGTTTTCTTTTCTTAAGGGGCTGGCTCTGTTTTTTGCTGCTCCCTTCCTGTAATTACATAATGAACTAATTGCATTTGCTAGGAAGATGAAGAGATGCCGACGTATGGTTTGGTATGAGGAAGAATCGTGTAAAAGTTTGACTTTGACATTAAAAACTTCAAACACTCTTGTTTGTCTGTTAACTTAACGAAAAGGGTTTCTCACCGTAAATATGAGTTATACAATGGTTGGGATACTCAACAACCAAACCAAATATTTGCCTCAAGAACATCAGTTTACACAGGGTTTACATACTGTGGTTAACAGAAATCTTTCTCCCAGCATAACATTTTTCATCTACCAACTAGCTTTAAAGGATCTGCAAGCATCCAGAACAATAGCAATCTATCAACATTATCAACTTGATGGAAAGTTACAGGAACTAGTATTGATAATTGCCATTTGTAATTGGAAGTGACCTTAGGGCACCTTATTAGAAAGTGGCAACAAAATGTTGAGAAAAAAATCTTCACTCAAGGTTAACTTGCTTGCTTTTTCAGGAGCTCTTGAGTGTATATGTACAAACTCACAATTCCATTACAATTGAACAAACTGCATTTGACTGAGGACCATATGATACGGTTGTAAGCTCCAGAACAAGTGACAGATTTGTTTTTGACATCTTCTGTTTCCAAGGTCAAGAATAAAGTGGTAAGCTTAACAGTTTAAAGCCCAAACCACATGGACAACATCCTTCCACTGAGCAGAATGACTGTTTTAATGTGTAATGTCAACTTGCACCTGACTGATACACATGCTGACAAAAATATATATGTCACTAAAATGCGCAACCATTAACTTTATCTTTAAAAAGGCGAATTTTCTTAACTGGATTGTGCTGCAAAAAATGTAGAGGGCAATTTGTACTTAGACTTATCAGAAAATGCTTCAGAGGTGTTAACTGCTGCAAAGATTAGTGTGAAGGACTAAAGATGGTAAAGTAAAAAAAACTGCAATCTGTTTTTTCTATTGTTCAGCAACACTGACACCATGTGGTCATGAATCAGTCATCAATGTGTTTCTGGCAGTGCACATGGTCATACTGTAGCATGGTATCAGCCGTTCTTTGTTTCAAAATTATTTTGGCCATATGAAAATTTGAATATGAAAAGCAGACAGACAAGGATTTAGTTTATCAAAAGATACTTTCAAAACTAGAACCAATATTGAAGAGCTATAAATAGGTTTATATTTGTATGTTCAGTACAAGGCAATTTATTTGGGCTTAACAAAGCTGACAGCTGGAAGATACAACTGTCAATTTAATTTATAGCCATCTGGAAAATAATCATTCATGAGTAGAGTAAATCCTGGGAAATGGTGATGAAGCTGTGGCTGCCTCAGTGGTTTGGATGCATCAAACATATAAAGATACATTATTCAAAAGGCTGATAAGCAATCATTCATGTTATGTATAGCATAAACAACACTACAAATACTACCAACACATGTTTAAATGTTCAATTACCGTATCATTTTCACCTTAATATCCACATCGCAGGTTGAATTCATTTGTCAGTTGTTGAATTAGTTTGTATCATCTGGTAGGGTTTAGTGAAAACGTCAATGTATGGCCTTCAAGGTCATACAATTGTGTATCTTTATTATTTGCAATTAGTGTTATCCAATGTACTGAAATGCCAGCATGTGTCACAACCAATGAAAAACAGTTTGTAACTGAAATGATGAATTACTGACCACAGTATGAGGTCTTCAGAAAATCTCCAGAAGGACCAATTGTCACATTTCCAGAAGGACCAATTGTCTGCATTCTGCAATAAAGCCATAAAAAGACACATAAAATAAAAATCATTCAATCATACAATAAAAAGGTATTAGCAACCTTTTCGGAAACATCGAAAGCATCAGGTATCATATCAATCAACTTCTCGTTGTAAGTCATCACATATAAGTGCCGACCATAAAAGGCTTTGTAAATAAATCACACCGTTCCGAGAGATAAATGGACGAGGAGTTGTCTACACCGTAAAGACAAGGATGCCCTTTTCTTTGAACTCTTGATTAAATTCCAGGGATAGACCCAGTGGATGTGCATTTTATGGATTTGTTAAAGATAAAGGAAAATGTTGTGAGGTAGGCGCCCGGTGAGGTAAACCGCACAATGTTACCCTCCTCATACACACTGTCCAGTATATCAAATGCTCTTTGGAGTTCTCAGATGCTTTTAGGGGCTTAAGCAAACTCATTGTTCTTAGTGGAAGAAAGCTGAAGTGAATGGCCTTTACATGCAGAATGAGAGGGCTCATAGCTTCAAAGTGAAAAGATACAATCATGTAATGTGTTTTCTGATGTTCAGTAAGTTAACATCTATAGCAGAGTGCTGCAAACCTCCACACCAAAGAAACATTTAGCATCACTGCAGCTGTGTATTAAGCCCTGCAGATGTGATAAACTCTGGCAGTGCTTTGTTCCTCTGTTCAGGAAAGCCTTGCAGCAGAGCTGTAAACATTTCTATCCGATGCGCAGGCTGTTGAAATGAGATTTGATCCCTGTTCCTCTGTAGGCTGTCATTTATGTCCCTTCATCTTTTCATGGTCACATCAGCTTGAACTTCTCACAACTCTGTATTTTTTGTAAAGTAGCATAAAATAGATAAAAGCGAATTTCACATGAAAGCATTTCTCAGAAAGAAATATTCATCGGCTTACAACTACATACATAAAGAGAAGAAATGTTGCAATAAAAACTAAGTTATCCGCATATTCTTCATTGTTTAAGAGGTGAGAACCCTGTTGAGTATAAAAGATTATTTCACAGAAATACACTCTCACTCACTGCGGTCAACTCAGCCGTCTCTCGCGTTTGCCTGCTCAAATGAGCAGCTCTTCATTTTTGAGTGCGCGATTTATCACGCCTTTATACGGTAATCGCTGAGAAGCGGCACTGACGCTAGTACAAGAGTAAAAGAATGCATGTTTTTTCTGCGACACAAATAATTTGTACCATACAGTAAGTTCTTTAAAAAACTGACACTGTTTGACTCAGTCCTAGTTTGACTGCTACCAAAAATAAAATGAAGTATTTTTACTGTGTACTTTTTGAGTAATCCTTTGTCAAATTCCCCTCCTGAGTACAATAATGCATGTTTTCTGATATCTTTGATGAGAGATACAATTATTTTTAGCCATAAGTTCTTAATAAAGGTGGTACTGTTGGACTCAGTACTTGATAGACTACTACCACAAATACAATGAAGTACTTTTACTGTGTACTTTTTGAGTAATACTCTGTCAAACTCCCCTCCTGAGTACAATAATTAATGTATTTGCTATATTTGTTGAGGGATAAAATGATTTTTTGCAATAAGTTCTACATAGAATTGGTACTGTTGTACTCAATACTACTTGGACTACTACCACAAGTACAAACAAGTATTTTTACTGTGTACTTGTTGAGTAATCCCCTGTCAAACTCCCCTCCTGAGTACAATGAAGTCTCTAAAGACTTTCCAAAGTGTAACAATGCTGCTTCTGGAGTACTGATCTAGTGGATCTAGTGTTCATATCATGTGTCTACCATATCCTCTTAAAATACTCTGTCCAACATTGTCAGTATTGTGTAGAACATTTTTCTAACGCTTATTATATATCAGAATCAGAAACATGTTTATTACCAGGTAGGTTTACAGGTACGAGGAATTTGACTTTGTGTCGTGGTAAAACATAAAAGTAAAACATGAATTCGAAACACAGGTAGAGAACTAGAAAAAAATATAAATAATAATGAAAGTATAGTAAAAATATAACAAAAAACATAATTTACATTGCAATGGAATGGAATATAAAAGGAATAAAATATGGAATAAAAATTGACAGTAATAAAAAAATAAAAACAGATTTTATTTCATGTAATCGTTTATTTGTACAGGGACAATGCACATTAATGGACAAATAATGCTTCAAATGTAAATATGCCGGATTTTAGCTTTGAGCTAATTTCCACCCACAGTCCCTCACATACAACATATAAGAACATGACATTTATAAACATAGCAAAAATAAATACATGATATGCAAAAAGAGCAAGAGCAGCAGTACAATGTAGCAGCTACAATATATAAAGTGCAAGAGAAGATACAAGAGCTACATAAAGTGCAAGAGGAGATACCCCTGTGTTAAAGTGCATTTAGCGGTGATTGCACGTCTGGTTGTTTCTCAACCATTCTTTGAGATGACCTTTATTGAGAGTGGGAAAATCCTGTATCACAATGGAGAGTACATTTTGTCCAAAAGTGGTCTGTCTACGGTGGACTTCACAGTCTCCTCTGGTTTCTGACCTAGTGCAGCGTCCAGTGGCTTTTTTGTGGCTTTCTGTCAAACACCTTGATAGCTTCATGTAGAACTTATAGCAAAAAATCCTTTTTATCCCTCAACAAATATAGCAAATACATGAATTATTGTACTCAGGAGGGGAGTTTGACAGAGGATTACTGAAAAAGTATACTGTAAAAATACTTGATTGTACTTGTGGTAGTAGTCCAAGTAGTACTGAGTACAACAGTATTAATTTCATGTAGAACTTATAGCAAAAAATCTTTTTATCCCTCAACAAATATAGCAAATACATGAATTATTGTACTCGGGAGGGGAGTTTGACAGAGGATTACTCAAAAAGTTTACAGTAAAAATACTCGATTGTACTTGTGGTAGTAGTCCAAGTAGTACTGAGTACAACAGTACCAATTTTATTAAGAACTTATGGCTAAAAATCATTTTATCCCTCATCAAATATAGCAGAAGAGGCTTGAATTTGTTCTCTGAATAATAACTGAAAAAGAACACAGTAAAAGTAGCCTACTTCATTTTATCGTTGGTAGCAGTCAAACTAGTACTTTCACCCGAAAATGCCAGATTAAATAGGGACACTGCTTTTACTGTAATGTGGGACATCTTCATAGGCCTTATTAAAGGTGGGGTAGGTAAGTTTGAGAAACCGGCTCGAGATCGCTAGAATTTGAAAATACACAACCGGAGAAAATCTGCCATTTCCTTACAGTATTACGGCTTCCACAGATGAAATTTCTTTATGGATTTTTTGTCAAAGCACTTAAAGGTAGGTAAGTTTGAGAAACCGGCTCGAGATACACTTTTTGTTATATTC